GAAATGACATGGTGATTGTTGCATCCGGACGAGCGACTCTGAATGCTCATAAGTGTTTGTATTTAGAATTTATCCATTAATCAGACTCATCCGGTATTGTTTGAATTTGTAAAAGTGCAAAGGAATTAATTTATGTGTTGGACAATGAACTTTGTGTTTATATGTTCGTTATGACTGTGTAACTTACTCGATACATTGCAGGAAGTGCTGAATTAGTGATTGAAATTAATTATTTGAAAAAAATTCTCTTTTTTTGTCGCCGTTTTACAAATGTAGAAATTTTTTTATCATTCGAGCTTAATCCATTCATGAAGAAATTAAAAAAGTTGTAAAATTTTTGGGTATGATAATTTACAGCGCATTTTCAAGGGTTTGTGTGATTCGACTTTCACTTATACTAGTATTTTTAGATTAGAGGTGCAGTAAATTATAGATTCTTAAGCTACTAAAGTCAGACAAAATGACTCCATTAGCTCCCCCATGTCCAATAAAAATCAGCTAACGATAAAAATTCTCTTTTCTTCTCTTTCTCAAGTATTTATCGCTATTTGTGCTGAAATTCTCAAATAATGCTGTCATTAAAAATCATTGATTACAAATACGAGTGGATATTTCGTATCCATTTCCTACTGTTAGAGTGACTCTTACTATCTTTCTTATGAAGCAATTATTTTTCAGCTCTACTGTTATTATAATTTTTTATTTCATTGAACTAGCAAAAAAAATAATACAGAATAGAGGAACAGAAAGGAGAAAAATTATTCATAATTTGTTGGCATAAATTGATCACATTGTTATTTCGACAATCTATGTAGATATCAATGGAAGTCATGCAAAAATGGCATTTTGCACATCATCGACTAGCCCCATTCACATGGCATCATTACAGTTACTATGTTCTTATGCCTTTCATTTGTAAATTTTTTAAATTATTCATTGATTATAAGTATATACGTACATATATTATAAGTATGTGCCCCGTGTATTATGAACTTCATTTTTGGGCTTCTCAATAGAGGAAAGAAATTCTTCAAATTTCTCTCTTATTATGTTTTATGTGTGTCTCTAATAGAAGCATAGATTATTGGGAGGATAGCTTGATATCGTGCAGTTTGTCAAGTCATGTTTCAATAACTCCAAAGTGCAAAATCCATAAGTTTCAGCTAGATAAGTTGAACCCCTGGCGAAAGAACATCTAATAGCTCGATTTGTTTAAGGTTAGGACCTGCATAACCTAAAGATCCAGACACTGTGGTGCGTGCAGTAATTTCTATAAAAACCAGACTAAATGCGTCTTAAGATCCCCGTACCCAAATATTCAATAATCCATCAACTTTTTTCCGTTGTCTTCTTTTCTTTCCTTTTGCATTCTTTTGTGGGTCTTCATACAAATTTTTTGTTATGCTTTTGTGTTCTTAAATGTCTTAGAAAACGATGTTTCCGGTGCAATCTGTGCATATGTGTCTATGAGTGCATGCAAGTCCATAATAATCATCATAATATGAAGATTCGGGAAGTCTATAAAAAAAATAATAAGATTTTTTTTTAGTTTTTAAGAAAAACATCTGATGGTGCTGCATGTGCGACGATGGTACGTTCAATGAACAGGATATGAGGACAGGGATTATTAACTATTTTGTTATGTCTTATTCTATTCATAATGTTTACTGTATTATGCTCTATTTTAAACGATTATTTATTAAACATTCATAATTTCTTCTTCGTTTTCCTTCCTTCAAGTTCATCCAGTCTATTTTCGTAAATGACTTCTTTATTATTGGATTATGGAATGAAAAATGGAAACAAAAAATAAAATTGAATCTTAATTATCTTTGAGCGGGAAGTTCATGATGATTATGCTGCTTAATGTTCTTGTGTCGTTGCCACAAAAATTTCTCATAAAAATTAAGCAATTTGCTGTGAATAATTGACTGATTTTACGGCTTGAACAGATATTTTACCAATAAAATCTTTTATAATCGATCAAAAAAAAATGTTTTTTGTTGAAACCGTAGAAATTTTATTTATTGGACTGTGTTGAAACCACTTAAGTTCCAATACATTTGGCATGAGAGACTTTGACTTACATATTTTGATGGATTTGTAAGAGAATAAAAATAGAATTTAATGCGATTATATCAGAACTGTGCGAAAATATTTTTAAAGGATTCAAATTCAATGAAAAATGTTGATGGAAACTTTGTTGAAAGAACATCTCATCAAGCGATTGTGTGTCTATCTAGATTAATGGTTTTTACTATTAAAATAGCAAAAATAAAGCAGCTCTTGTTTTCAAAGCTTCATTTTATGGCACAGAAGTGAATTTTATGAGGAACATCCACGTAGAGGGGATGTTTAAACCTCTTTTGCTAATAAAAATTCATGATGACTCCCCAAAAATCAAGCAAAAATTAGATCAATCATGAATCACATCTTGGCACTCAATTTCTAACGCAGTTTGTCATGCACACATACGGATCGTTCACTTATGACGTCCGAAGTTAACGGTCATTTTTCATTCAGGAATTTCTATTGGTCTTTTCTTGCTGACCCCCCCCCCCCCTGGACGTCATAAGTGAACGGCCCCATAGAATGTATGAATAAAAGTTGTGTCATTTATGTTATCTAATGCATAATCTACCCGAGGATAAACAATAGACTGTTGAAACTAGGAAGTGTCTCCTTGAAGTGGAAAATAACTGTGCCAGTAGAAAAATTAGTAATCGCAGAAACAACATTCATACTGTATTTGTTTACATCTCGATGATATGAAAAATGTCGCACTTACAAAGTCAATTGAGTCATAAAGAATACAATTTTAAATTAGAGCATGTGATGAGATCTGAATAAAAACAAATGATCGTTTCTCGGAAATTAATAATACTCACGTCTAGATGGGAAGTCTTCATATTAAGAAAATGTTCCGAGTCGAGTTCAAGATGACCATAAATCTCAAATTTCAGTCATGATTCAAGACATAAAATATCCAAAAGTCGTTAAATTCACATAATGCACTTGAAATTCATCTCTTGAGAACAATTCTACTCTATTATTAAGGCTCACCTACTATATTTTTGCACAATAGACTTTATTTATGCCCATTCAATTATAATGAATGGGAATCCGCATGAAAAGCACCTTTAAAATCATCCCATCTTCTTCTACCTTGCAAAATAACAACATGTGATGCAATTCATCCACAATTATCTTCAAATTTCACACATCCTTCATTGGAGATGTTCACCATAAAAGAATCCTCTTTTGCTAGTTCCCCTCATGTTTTTCTCACTGAATAAATTAAAGGTACATTTTTTTTATTGTTTGGCGAAAAACAGCACAGAATAGAAAATACTCTTATTTCATGTCTTTGCATAATAGAAAAATATTTCAGGTAGAAACAAAAATTATTCTTATCGCCGCTTGCGAATAGATTCTCTCTTTTGAGCATAAGAAGAAGAAGAAGTGAAAAAAATCATAAATTTAAAACGTGTGAGAAAAAAAATTTCTCTGACAGGTACATTGCAGTTCCTAAGGATATTCTTAGAAGTATCTTTTGTGAAAATGTATTCACAGCAACAGTGGTAAATGGAGGTAAATGGTGAAGGTAAAGAGTTGGGTTTGATGTGGTGTCTTGGACGCTTTTTTTGTTTGTTAAGTTTTTGACTAGGATCGTCCTTAGAATCATATTAGATTTGTCACCTTATAGATTAGCCTATCAATCATTCAGCAAATGAGTCAATCAACAGATCATAGCTTCCTTCAATCACTGACTAAACCGGGAAATTTCTCTCATCAAGCTTGTCAATCTAATTATTCATTCACTATAGTCATCATCTTACTCACATAGTCACTCAACTAGACAATCAATCAATTACCCAAAGTGCTCACAATTTTACACCTGTCTTTCAACAGGAGTTGTCCCAAAAAATTTATTTAATTGGCTCACCATAAATTTATTTGTTTTGATAACATATTGTTTGAGCTTCCTTAAAGACTTTAGGGTCCTCGCCATCTCCTTCTCTCTTGGTGATTGTGTGAAAAAGATAAAAGGAAAACGAAAACAAAGGCAAGAAGCGGTAATTAAAAATTATGAGCTAACGAGATTTCCTTTTGTCTTAGAAAGGAGCAGAGCGAAGGATAAAGGAAGGAAAAGTATCATAAACAACATGCTGGTGTCTTATAGCTTGTTCTCATGGGAAGATACTGATTATAGAAAATGTATTTTGCCTGCTTAAGGAAGAAAGTTTTCTCAATCATAATAACTCATTTAAACCTGCTCGTTTTGTTGTGATTGAAAGGATTAGATTTCAATTTATCTTTTTTAAGTGAATGAGAGGATCAGTGTCTTTTGTCCTTTATAGCAGTACCTGGCAATTTTACTTGATTGTTGAATGTTTTTTGAGAATTTATAATATTTAAAGAATTTTAAGATTGTTTACTTTATGTGATGCTTACTACATAGCTAAGAAGCATGTGAATATTATGTGCGATCAAATACGCAGTAAAATTGTAAATTCGGACATTTAGGTCAAGAATATTATCACAATAATTGTTTAACGATCATTAAATCATAAAAAATCAAAAAAATCATTTGAAGCTTAAAATAAGGAATCCAAAAAATCAAATGTAGATCAATAATGCCAACAACAATATAAATTGCTGCCAATTCTTCAATATCCTACTATAAATGTCTTTAAAATCTTCTCAACCTCCCAATTATCTCCCATATTTGTCAATGCCAATATCTCCAAATTAAATTTCCCTCAACCAAATTCAATTAGCTCCAAAAGTTTCAATCTTTGTAAGCCTCAGAAGCTGGTGATCTCATCCAATTACTCATTCTTATCAATTTAATTTGTTCAATTACGACAACATTTAATAGCTTCTTCTTCCTCTTCATTCATGTCTTTAAGCCATAAAAAAGATTTTTTTTTCAAAAAACAGAGGAAACAACACAACAAATGGGGAATGACAACAAAAAAATGTAAGCGAGAGAGGCAAATTAAGTGGAATGAGAGGGAGAGGAAGAAACTGCTCAAGAGAGGCGATCGCATGCACAAAACTGTTATAATTTAATGCTTTAAAGTATAGCTTAAAAAACGGTCTCAATTTTTTGAGTCTATGTAATTTTAGTTCCTCACAATAAGTCGCACGAGGCAGACGTATATACGAAAAAAAAAATTCTAATGTTATGTTGCGGAATTAAATTACAAGAATTGGAATAAAACAAAAAAAATAAGAAGAAGTTTAATGTGAAACTAGCATGAAATTTAATTAAGAATTTTAATTACTCAAAAAGTGGTTTAAATTGGAAAGATTCTTTTCAAAATGTGTCATTGAATTCGGTTCCATTTGAAAAAAAAAATTAAATGCAAATTTATTTAATGTGCTGAATAGTGGATAATAAGTACAAAAGGAAAAGGAATTCCATGCTTGTGTAATTTTTGAAAAAATAAGATTCATAAAAGCGTAACAAGTGAATTAAAAATTCTTATTGTGGATTAAAAACGTTCGAAAATTCTGCTTTCATTAAGTACCATTGGACTATTAATTAGAATTAAAGGTGAGTCAGGTATTAATTAAATTTTATAAATTACTACAAACGATTTTATCTGGAAACTGACTACGCTAAATACAATCATATGACTCATCTTTGTAGTATTTTTTGCGAGAAGATGAAAATATTTGTTTAAAAACAGACTTAAAATGGAAATGATATGGGCACATTTTTATGATAGGAGAGGAATTTTTTAAAATTGGATTTTTAATGGATTCTCGTGAAAAAGGCATACAAAGTATGTCTGTAAAATTTATGCAGACTGTCAAATGAGATAATTTTTAAATATACATTTTAGGGGAAATTAATTTACATGTTTATGTTTTCTGGATTATTTTTCGCATTAATGCAACTTATGTGATGGAATTATGTTGCTGTAAATATTTATCTGCATGCTGTAAATTAAGACAAAAATTTTAATTTTCATTGAATTTTTTTTTTGATTTAAAAAAATAAAAATTTTGAACTCAAAAATAAATTTTTGTTGTTGATGCTAAAGAACAATGTCCAAAGAGACTCCAAAAAAATAATCATTAATGCCAGTAAATTCCCAAAATCATCCAGATGTCCAAAATCCCCAACAAAAATTCCACATCCTCACAAAATAACAGCTTACAGTAAATTCCAGACATTTAATTCGTGCGATCGTTTATCAACACTATTAACGCCTTCCTCTCGAAATCAATTTGCATAAACATTAAGTAACGTGCTGCTGTGTAGTATAGAAAGAGGAAGAGAAATAAAATTATGATAAGATTTTTCGTATGCAAAAAAACGACTGAAATTTATTAAGAAGCTCATTTTTTCGTTTCCTTTTCATTGCAAAATCTTCTTCCGTACGCTGAGAAAAATAAAGCAATGAGTTATAATAGCTTTTCTCTTTTGCATTGTGCTTGTTAAATTCCGCAATTGAGACTTATTCATCTAATTTGCAGCATACAATAATATAGTGAATATCTTTGGATATAATGATGTATATTTTTTTACTCGAAAAATCTCAATTGTTTCTGTTCATTTGTGGCAATTGAGGCATGAAATTTTTTAATTTTTGTATTTTTGGCTAAAGTTTATATTGAGTTTGTGTATTTTGTGGATAGTTTTAGCTGGAAGCTAGTTACATTAACGATTTATTAAGGTTCTACTAGCTACAAATGTGGATGTTTAAATAAATAGAAAAAATGTCAACAAAGCAGCTTGACATCATGCAATTCTGCATGTAGTTGACCATTACTTTGTAAATAATTCTCATAATTAAGTCCCAAGCGTCTCAATCTCCTCATTTTCTGCAAAATTCTCACAACTTCTTTTTATTTGTATGAAAACGATGAGGAAGCAGTCAATTTATATGAATCATATGATGTGAGCAAACATCAATTCAAATTTATGTACGCTTCTTTCATTTAAGCAAATTACATCATTATCATTAACAGTTTTCATAATAAACGGAAGCCTTAACGGTTTTGATGCAATTAAAAAATATGAAAATATTTTTATCGAATCGGACTTAATGCTCTTCCCATATGTGCGTATTTTTCCTGTGCTTTTAAATGTTTACAAAAAATATCGACGATGTGAAAAGAAGAAAAAAATCATAAAAACCTACATGTTGATCATGATAATTGGCATTGAACTAGAATTTAAATCGATTAATTTTGAATCAAAATTGGTGAGAAAATGAATTTATTAATTACTCGCTTAATAATATATAGCCTATAATTTTATTAATATCGATAATTTGCATGCTTTTGCTCTTGATTTTATTGAACAGATGTGGTTTTTGGAACATGGTTTGAATTGAGATATTTTCGGATTTTTTATTATTTGTGAATTTTCTGAGAATTGTTCCCCTTCTTTAAATGCTGGACGTCATACATGAATTAATGCTTGTTTATGAATTTTTCGGATGTTGTATCCGGAATATTTGTGATAAAAAATAAAAGCTTTATGAATACAGCAACATTATATACCCTTTCTATAATCCAATAATCTCTAGAATTTTTCATAACATAGATTTAAAAATAATCTGATGATTTTTCTTTTTATTCTACTAAAAATGCAGTCAATCGTGTAGAAGATCCATAGATTCTTTAGTAAAATAAAACATCATTTAATATTTCATCGTATCTCAGCTGCAATTTCAAAAGAACAATTTGATGACTTCTTCAAAAAAATATTATAAAATAATTGCAATAAATTGTTAAAATCGGATTTACTTGAAATTCAATTGTTTTTTTTGTGCTGTGATTGCAGCGTAATGAAAATTGAGCTCAATATTTATTTCATTTCTGTCAAGAGCTATTAAAAAATTGCTTTTGAAAAAAATGTAGAACAATTTATTGAGGAGGAAAATTGATAAAAAAAAATTGATGATAAATTGTTCGAGTGTTTGATCTTTCTGAGAGGTTAATGGAGAGTTCTTTCAAGTGGTTTGTACTGGATGGGAAGTTTTTAATTTTTTTTTTAATGTTTCGGGCTACTGGAAGGTCAAAAATTGTGTTATTTGGTTGATGCAAGAATTTATTCTACAGAACTAAGGAGTTCTTTCATCTTTTTCAATTTAGAATGTCCGCAACCATCTCAATTGAATGTTAAATTATGAAATATCATTTACTTTTACAATGTTTAATCTTTCTGGCTGAAGCAACCATTCTGCAGCCTAATGTATCATATTGAACTCGGGACATACCACGAAAATTTAATTATCAAACCATAAAAATCGCAATTTGTGAATTTCAACAATTAATTTGAACAGTCATCAAAATTATTCGCACGAAAATTGACTCAACAAATATCGATAAAATTTGAAAACAATAAAATTGGACACTTAAACATTTTTATTGTTGATATTCTGTGGATTTATAGAACAATTTTACATGTTTGTTGAGCACTTAATAGTCAGCAGTTTACGTCATTTTATTTTGCAATCAAATTCAATTAAATATCTCGATGAAAAATAAAATAAATCAAATTGAATGTCGAAGTTCAAATCATGAGTAGGCCTAAGGAGAAAAGTAAATTGAGTATTGCATCCACCCACATGCGGTTGTGTAAATCCATATCTAGATTTACAATATGAAGTGGATTCGAATGATTTATTTAACTTCACGAAACTACTCGCAATAATATTTGTATCCAATTAATTTTTGCAATTGAAAAAGCTGTCTGAATATATCCTAATTAGTAAGATCCTCAAAAAGTTTTGATACGATCGGAATTGATATAAATACAATTGTGGATTTTTTATATCAAAAGAGCTTTGACAACAAAAACAATTTATATGATAAGTACGTCACTTCCATATGTAAAACTATGCAAAAAATATCAAAGCAAAACATACAAGCTTCATGCTTGATTCGTCATGCCTTGAAGCTTCCTTTCAATCACACAAATACAGTGTCACAACATGTGTTGAAAAAAAAAAGAATGAGAAGAGATTGGAATGTATTGAAAGAACATCGTCATGAAGCAGAATCTCATGACACAGGAAACTGAATTATTATCGAGTATGTTAAACGAGTACAATGCCAATATAAAGAGAGTAGAGGCACTCAAGCGGAAGTTTCGATATAAAAAGTTATGACAATGATAATAGTTTTTAGATAATCGAATGGAATGTGTGCAAATTCGTGTTTTTTGCAACTCATCATGAGGTGGAACTTTTATGGTTCTATTCTGACAAAATGTGAGATCTAGGTCGATAAAACCTCAAAATTCTCTCTCAAGCCTACTCAAACGTATCATACACAGTCAATATTTACCAGCATATCCCACTAAACTATTCAAAACTCATTGAGCAGTTCCAAGACTCTTACAAACTCAAAACTATACATTATCGGCCCTCTTGAACCTCCAGTCAACTCAAAATGATTTAAACAAAATAAATTTTTCGAAATAATAAACAGAAATGATGAAAAATAAGACAACGATGATGATGCATGTACAATGCATTGTGGGATGATGCACTCTTTTAAATATAAACATAAAAAGTCGTACATAAAAAGATGTATGTAGAAGATGATGCGAAGAGAAAAAGTATCATCAAGCCAAGCGTGAACAATACACGTAATGATGTCGATGATGATGCTCCATTGTATTTCTATTTCATTACATAAACGCGCGGCATGCATGTATCAATTGTAATTGCTTTTATTTATGTCATGCTGCCTAGAAATATACGATCATAATTCATTTGATGAATTCAGCTCCACAATTGTTTTTCTTTCCATCAACAGACGATCGCGGATTATTAAACGATATATGACACTAATAGCTGTATATCAATCACAAATAAGATCTAATAGAAAAATTTTTCAGCAATAATAATTTACAAATATCATCACCATATGTGCTGTTGATGGTGATGTTGTGTATTATTTCATAGCGAGACAATAACTGTTTCCGACTGTTTTCAACAATTTTGCATACAAAATGCAATAAAAGATGGAATTTAAAATGTTGCATGAAATTTCATTGTGAAATGGAAATGCAATAATGAAAACAGAGAAGCTTATTATGAGCTGATAGCGTTGGAGATGATTATGAATTTCACACGAAAAATTTTAATGCATAAATTTAGTTCGTGAAATGTTTTATTGTGGAAAATTCAGTTTGAAATATTTAGAAAATTTTTAATGAGCAGATATGAATCTGAAAGAAATATTTGGTGCTGCTGTATATCTAAAAACTATGTAACAAGTTCTAGAAGCTAATTACTATTTAGAGCGAAAATTTCAAAGAATTTCTAAAATTTGTTGCGCATATAGCTCGTGGTAAAAGTTGTATCAACTACAGAAACATAAAATGGCTATTTTTGCATCTCCTACACAAAATTTTTGACATAGCTCTAGAAATACATAGAAGTCGCTTATTACTAATGTTAATTAAAATTCAAGATTTATTGAGCCACAACAGCCCTGCATCGCCATACAAAATCTCTCTCATCGTTCCTTAAGACCCCTGCTTCATGCTCTATTAATAACACATGTAAACACGATAAAGCCTCAAATGTGACATTAAATCTCGTAGCAATAGAGGCGCTAAAAGCATTTCAATCTAATAATACTTCCTGCAACAAGCATAAATAAATTCATTGAAAATTATTCGTACCAAGTTTTGTCATGAAGACAAGCAAAAAATGGTAGCATTGGCGATAGAAAAAATTGCAATTAAGATAAAAAGAGTTTCCTGTTTACCGTATCAACAGGCATTTGGTTCCCACAATTTGTGAGTACTGTATCTTGTTACTGAGTCTGTCTGCGTATTATTCGCTTTATTTTTCGTCATCGTTATTGAATTGCGATGAAAAGGAAAGATACGAAAGTTCCCATAATAATAATCATACTTAATATAAGTAATTGATAAGTTTGAAGCCGGTTTAGCAGTAAAAATCATCGCATTTCTTACCTCTTCTACGCACTAAACTCTGCACAGTTGTTATTATTTTAAATCGTATTGCGACATTGGAGTTGTCAGCACTGATATGATATTATTAAGTAGGAAAGAGAGAGTGCTTAGTGTTTGGATGCTCACATGTGTGAATTTTCAAATGGTTAATGATAGTGTACTGAAGATTTTTAGATTTTGAAGATGAAAGTCTTCAATTTTTTCGATATTAAATATTAATATGTAATCAATTTGTTATGATGATGTAGCTATTGATGATTTTTGGATGCATAATTTTGAAATTTCTCCTACAATTTTGATTATTATGGGAATCATTTTGGGGATTGACTCAAAATTGCCTAATATTATTGTGAATTGTATTTATTTCGACACGAATACTTGAAACCCTAATTGGCAACTTACTTACACAATTTCAGACTTAGCAAAAACTCTCTTCATTATCAAAACGTCCCTAAAATGTCCTTGAAAACTCTAAAACAGCCTTAAATGTTCGAAACAACCTGAATCCCTTTTCATAATTGTTATCACATTAATATCCTAAAGGCAAATAACTCAAAATGACAATCAAATAATATTCAAGAGAATATTCATCCTTTAATGGATTATTAGGAAAATAATCAAACAAAGCTTCCAATAGAGCCACTCAAATCTCTTCACAAATATTTTTCATCAAAATCATAATCAAGCAAATTGAATCCTTTTATCGCCAATCATTCAGCAACAAAGTATTCATCAATATGAAAGTAATATGGAATTGTATGAAGATATGACAGATTTTTCTCATTGTTCTTCATCTTCTTTTATGCTTCACATGAGATTTCATCACACAAATTTTTACTATTGTAACAAAATCATGCAAACTTGAGAGTCTTATATCAAATTACTTTCATTTTGTTACATAACACAGGTAGATTGCTAATGATGAAAAAGTAATGCTGACTAAATGTGGATGTTCTCATGAAATTTGATGCGACTGTTGAGAGAATTTTGAGATTTTATAAGTTAAAAACTTTGTCTTGTTAAATATAATGAGGAAAATAAGTTTGAAGCTTGATGGAAATTTATAAAAACTAATGAAAAATCTTTCAAGGAGATTGAAGGAAGTGAAAAGTTGATTCAGAAAATGTGGTTTTAAGTTGTTCTATGAAGATTTTGGATTATTGCTTGTTAAGATCCAGATATTGATACTTTTAACTTTCTTTCTTGCCTTCAAAAACAGTGATTCACAAAATCATGCTGCAACTTTCACTGATCTTTCGGAAATTTTCATCAATCTTGTTTATCATCCAAAAACATTTCAACTCAAGGCTTCCCCACATCCCCAAGCACATTAGCTATGAATAACACTAGGAACTTTAGAATACAAAATGTTAGATAGCTTTCAGTCCTTCAACTCGTTCCTCGCAGGAAAATTGTTTCTTCTTTGGGATTTAAACTTCAGCAAATGAAAAAGTTTTTTCTTTCATGAGTAATTTTCTTCCTATTAACTTTAGTTTCACTCATTCATTTTATGGTAAGATAGAAAATAAAATTCTTCATCATCTGTATTGCTTAACGGCAAAGGGGTCGTTCGCTTATGACGTCCGAAATTAACGGTCGTTTTTCAAAAAAGAACAATGGATTTCCAGGAATTTCTATTGTTCTTTTCTTGCTGACCCCCCCCCCTTTCTTCCCCCCCCCCCCCCCCCTGGACCTCATAAATGAGCGGCCTCAAAGAAGAATTACTGTAGATATGAAATTTTTGTACAGTAGCTATTGCATGTATTGAATGAGTAGAAGAAAAGTAATCAGAACTTTAATATTCGTTTACTATTTCAATGTGAATTGATTTTTTCTCTCCCTGTCTTATGATTTATGCAAGGGAATATAGTTTGATGATATTGAATATTTTTGAAGGCTATAGCGCATATCAAATGATCAGAAATGACGATAGAATTCATCAAAAATTCTCGCAAAATTATTTAACCTCAAAATTAATCCAAATCCAAAGTTTTAATTCAATTTGCACTTAACCACCCATAAAATCACTCAGTAACTCAATATACAGCGGTCAATTGAATTCCCATCCACTCCAAACCCCATCATCTGAACATTAAATGCTCTTTAAATGTTTCTATCTGCGCTTGATTCGTTCCAATAAATTTTTATGCGCCATTTAGAAGTAAAAATATGAGAAAAGTTTATAGAAAAATTTTATTTTTTTATGCATCGGACTTGAAATATAATTGTGGCTATGAAGATATGTAATTAATAAGTACTAAAATTACACATAATGATGTTCTGGTTTCTTCTCTTTTCTCTTGCTGATCAATGAAATGAGATGAGATGGATAAGTCCGCATGATGGATGTGTAAGCCATAATTCCATAATAAAATTAACAGAACAGCTCGTTACACATCACTTAATAATTTTCATTTTGTGTGTGTAGTTTTCATTTTCACTCTCCGTTGTGCCCCCATTAACTTTAATTAATTTCAATTTTCATATACCGCGAACATTATATTAAGAAAAGAAGACTCTACTCATATTAGTGGGTTAGATGCGAGATCAGGAGGAATAATGTTACACATTAAGTGGATAAACTTTCTGTCTTGGGAGATTGAGACGATTTTTTTTTTTCGCAAACGAATTTAAATTGGAGACTTTTTTCATTTTATGAGACTGTGATAATCACATTGCTCGGATTATGGAGTCAATTATTGAGTGGATTAACATTTTGAACTATGTATGAGGCAAGATGATTTTATGGGTACATTATGGATCAGTTGGAGATCCTCATATTTTGTAGATTTCCTACCAAATTTTTGTAATGCTTAATTATCTAAAGTTTTGTTAAGAACTGACACCTTAGTCTACATCCAGATTTTAGATAACATAAATTTAGCAAATTGAATGCGTTTCAGCCTATACGAACTGACAAATCTTCCACACTTGTAATAAAATCATTCCTACTTCTTAATTTTGCATACTATACTCAGCCAACCGTCGAATAATCATCGTAATGCGAAAAATTAATAGTAAAAGTTTTTCGCTAAAAATGCAATTTAAATACCGCTATTGTCGATAAAGTTAATTATGAGCCATTAAAAACCACCAAGTATGAACATTTTGAGGTGTTTGATTAAGCCAATAGTAAAATATTCAAGTTGTTAAAATTAATGTTGATATAAGTTTTTATGAACGTTGAGGCTTTTGGGAAGAAGATTGTTTGAATCCAAATATGTTCGTATGCATTTCCATAATAGGTTTCCTACAGAAAATGATGTCCATGAAAAAATAAGGCGTCATGAGTTTTATTGCAGAAAACTTTTTATTTGCAGATTCAGATCCCAATCTCTCCTCGCCTAATTCCCAGATATCATAAGTCAATGACCCCCCAACATTATTACATTATTCTCCATGATGAAGTCGATTGTAAATACTCCAGTTCTTCAAACAAACAAAATAAATTTTAATTGACTCTCAAGTAACGAAAATTTCTTTTTGTTTTTGAAACTATTTACAGATGCTGAAGCACGTCCACATTTCACCGCTTAGAAATCGTTCAGATTCCATATCCCTCCGTTCGTCGACATCATTCTCGTCAGCAAATTCATCATGCGCAACATCACTTTGTGGTAGTCCTGAACCGTCCAGCGAATATGAATTAAAGACATCCTCACGGTCATCAAGTTACTCGAGTCTAAGTGAATCTGTTCCACAGGTATGATAATGATAATGTACATGTAGTTTTTAATTAAAATTAATTATTGTAAGAATGTCTAATGGACTGACGGTGCATCAAGATGACACGCTTTGTTTAACTTGGCTTAATATCAAACTTCATGGCATTTTATGTCTCTTTCTTCTCTTGTTCTGTGCACATGCCAGAATGTTCTGATTGTATGAGTTTTTGTAATGTCAAGTTCTAAATGTAATTTAATATGAATTAGTATGTGTGTATGTGGGATGATTAAGATGTGACTCAGGGTTGGCGGAACATGATTAGCTATAGTTCTGATAATCCATTTGTAGCCATAACAATCTAATTGCTGGTAATTCCAAAAAAAAAACATCATATCAAATATTGTCAACTAAGCAGATTAAAGCCCCGATCAAACTTCCTTAGCTGTTGTCAACTCTGCTTAAAAAATAATTCGAATGGCACAATGCCATTCTGCTGATAATGACTTCAAGTGTAATTTAAGAAAAAAGAAGAGAAGAATGAAAAAAAGCATCAACTCAACATCCGGTGCGGGAGAGATGTATGAAAGGAAAAAGAAGTGAGATAATGTACTGCAATTACATGCTTTAACATTTTTTTTTTCATGCCTTGCTGCAATGCTCTGCACCTTAAAAATTGTTTGAAACAGCAGGAGATTTGGTTCTCTGGGCTTGTCACTCACCAAAAAGTAAACTCTTTTTACGCTTCGATGATCAACCTGAAAATTTATTACCAAACACGTGCCATTATGTTTACATGAACAGAACAGCAAAGAATTTGAAGATGTACACAAAGTGTTGTAGGATAGAGATGAGGAATCATCTTCATCCACTTTGCATAATAATTTATGAGAATGAGAAATTTGATGAATGTGGATTGTGTTCTTTTTCATGTTCACAGATTCTTGATGAATGATTGTGTGATGTGCAGTAGTGCATTGATGAAAGATATGATACTTGGGTGGATTTTGTCAGCCTTTATGTTGTATGTTTTATGAATGTCTGACAAAATTCTTGCAGTAAAAACTTTTTTGAAGCATTATTAACAAATTTGTTTCCTTCTATTTTCATTATAGACTACCTTAAAGGTGTATACAGCTTGCTTAAAGCTTGACATAGAGTATAAAACATTGGCAGTATCTTGGGACACAACCGCTAGACAAATTGTCACACAAGTTCTAAGAAGGTAAGCTTTTGATCCTTTTCCTCCCTTTTTTGATTTCTTGGGAATTTAAACCTTAGAATTTAAATGTCAACCCTAAATATACAAACATTTCAACCAAATAAAATTCTAACCTCAAAACTTTTTTTTTGTATCTCTTCAAAAATTCAGATGTAAAATGCGTCATCGAGATCCAAGACTTTTCTTTTTGTCAATGGAAGTCCGAATACGAAGAGCTGATGCACGTACATTATTAACTTTAGATGACTCAGCACGACCAGCAATGCTTCAAGCTTGTCATCCATCAGGCGAATCAAAATTTCATTTGCAAATGAAAGCAGGCGGACTAATTCGTGTCCATACATCCGCTCTACAGCAGACATCTCAATATAAGAGTCTATTAATATCAGAACAGACGACATCAGATGAGTTACTAAGTCTCTTATTGTCATGTTACAATTCGACTGAACCAGTTGAGGACTTTTCATTATATGAAGTATGTCCAGAACAAGAATATCAGAGGAAATTACATCCAGATGATTTGCCATTGCGTGCACAAATTTTACGCAATCAAAAAGGCGATGCTTGTCACTTCCTGGTACGAAGAATTAGAAATATGGCAAGACGATCAGTTCAATTGGATATTCAAAATAATAACCAGAAACAAAATTATTCAATTGACATAAGTTCATCATTAAGTCCAGCTATGGCACAAAAAATTGATGAAATCAGCATAAAATCACCCTCAACATCCTCAATTCAGTCATCATCTCCATCGATCGTAAAGTCGACATTCACAAAATTGGAATCATGTTTCGGCAAACTTAATGCACTAACTCGATATGATCAGTCGAGCATGCCCGATGTGAACGGAAATGTGATTCAGCAACAAAAACAATCACAACCACGAAAATGTCAATGCAATATGAGCAGCACACAAAAATGCAATTATTGTAGTCAAAGACTCATGAAGGGCTTCAATGATTCACTTATGCATTCAGAACCATCGCTTATAAAGTCACCGACATACAATCCAGTCTATAACATTCGAGAAATTCGGACGGCACAAAATTCATTCTCAGCATTTGGCAATGATAAGAAAATGATTGACTTGGACTTATCATCAAGAAAGGCAATATCACGAAGACACAGTGTCGCTGTTGATGAAATCGAAATCGTTAATTCACATCCGTCGAGAGGAATAGGAAATTATGTTTACATATAATCAGTGTCATTAGTATTTATGTCGCTGACTTGTTGCTCGTTTTTCTCTTATATTCATTGAGGTTATCTTTGCTAGTCACAAATATCAAAAAAGTAACATCATTAAAGATGAAAAGTTGGATGGAAAAATTGGAGCATAAAAAAAATATTAATTGAATCTACCGATTAAATGTCACGTCAAATGTTCACAGTGTCATGACTGATAAGGCGTGCGACAAAGCTGTTAGATGAGTACACAAACATACATACTGCATTTATGTGACAAAATCAATAATTTTCATGTTGAACAAACATCCGTAGTTCAATAACCAAGAAAATGGAACTGAAACTTATCAGCAGTTTAAGACATGTGACAAATCAATATGCGGAGTCGATTAAAAAAAATGTGGAATGGAAAAAATATATTTTCAGAGCTGTTGGTGATGATGAAATGGATTTTGGTGTCATGTGATTAGAATCGGAGCTGTCTTGGGGATTTTTTGAAGAATCTGTCAGGTTCAGCAAAACAGCATGCAATTCAAAATGAATTGGTCACAAATTTGAATCATGCTTAATTAATCTCGTATTCACAAGACATCCAACAACCCTGAATTTACCATTTTATCCATCAGATAATATCATAAAGTTTATAGCGTATTTGAAGCACCTTTTCATTTACTTTCTTAAATTCACTGCTTAAAGCCAAAGCTATTAAAATATTGTTCACATGTAGAATACTAAAAAAACATTTTTATATACCTTAAATAAAGTACGTTTAGTGAGTAGAATCAATAAGCATGAAAATATGAAATAAATCATTTTTATGAGGAATAGACATGAATCTCATTTTGTTTTCTTTTGACATTATTTTTTTGTTAAATTTCAATATTGTTTTTCGCTTTCAGCATTGATAACTTTGAAGGATAGACTTGCTATTCATTTGTTGTTGTTGCTTTATTCTTGGAATATTTTAAGCAACGTTTTTGTAAATTGAGTTTGCGAAAGGCTTTAGATCTTTCACGAAAAAATTTATTTGCGTTTTCAATTTGATTTGCGGGAAGCATTCAAAAATTACGTCTTTTTCATCTTAAAATTGTGATTCCATCACATTTCTGTTAGACGTCATAGATGAACGACCCCAAAGAATTGAAATTTGCTTATTTTGGAACATTTAGTAGAATATGTGATATATTTGCCACCAGCAGCAGTAAAGATCTCTATTTGCAATGCTAAGAAGAACTCGAGCAAAACTTTGTAATGTAGCGATGTAAATAGATCATGTGGGTAAGTTTGTAAAGTTTGAAGGCAAAAGGGAGGTTTTATGTGATAAGAGTACTCAGAATTTTGACATCAAAAGTTGCTGACATTGGAAAATTCAGAAGAAATTCAATGTTTGAAGATTTCAGTTCCAATTTTGAAAATCACAAGATATATAAGCTGAATTTGAAGGAATTTAAATTTTGTACAGCCTACATTCTTAAATATCCAAGAATTCATCTTAAACAAAAACGAATTGTATCCCAGCAACAGCAATATTCATGAACTTCCTAAAAATAGTATCCTAAATAACCAGCATAAATCAAATTAAATGAGTTCAGACATGAAATGTGCATGATGCTATAAATTATTCACAACATCTCATCTAATTCATCTCAAGTGATATTCATGATACTGCCCATAGAACGCATGATTGACGCTATCATATTTGGGTCCATTTTCTCATTCAAAAATCCATTTCTAGTTCAGAAAAGATAAAAAAATGGGAAATTGACCTAAAATAAAATCAAAATTACGTTCTCGAGCGTTAAATTAAATTTTTGCGTTCCAAACGTGGAACTGAGAATGTAGAATATTGCTTCTACACATGTAAAACAAAAGAAAGCAGCTCCGTCCAATTTTTATTGCATGTCATTTTTCAATTTTACATATCTTCGCATATACTCAAACCGTTTATGTGCTTCAGTAGCTCATTTTGTCAGTAAATTTATTGAGAAAACGTGTCGAAAATAATCGATTATTGGCAAGGTGTAGGTGCTTTAATGTGACTTAATATGTTCCAAAAATTATTATATTGGATGTCATTATCTTTCAATAAGCATACTATATTTAATAATAAATTTGGATTTATTTGATAGTCATGACTGTATAAATTTTAGGAAGCATATAAAGATATCGGATACAAATGAGGTAAGCGATGGCAACGATTTGGGACACGATAAGAATGTTGATTAATTTTTAAGATTTTTTTCAATCTTAGTGTAACTTCGGAAGGGCACGTAATTATGTGAACTTACTTCCTCTAAAACTAGATAATTTTACTGTTTAATTTCAAATCATTTATAGACCCTTCAGTGCCCTTACCTTTTCAAAATTCTCAATAATTCATCACTTCCAAAAAATATCATATTCACTGCCATTCTATACATTAAATACAGTGTCTCAAAAACAAAATATCTTCCTGTCTTTCTCAATATTGTCACGTACGTCTAATATAATTCTAAAAAAGCAGCTCATGTTTATGCTCGTATCAACATTCATTCTGCCATTTATCTTTCTCTTTCATTTCAATAATCAATTTTATGAGCATCAAGCAAGTCAGAAAAAAGTGAAAACTTTCTGTCAACCTTCCAAGAATTTCTCCATTGGCTTGTCTCTATTTTCGGATGCTGAATTTATGGTTTACGGTAGGCACAGATTTACCTTTACTCGGTTGATTTTTGATAATTAATCTATGACAAACTTGTTACATTCTGTTAGGTTAGATAAGATCAAACGACTGATGACATAAAAATGGTCACCAATTATTTTTCTCCTTTAGTTGTGTGAAGGCACAACTTCTTTCTGTTGTTTCGGTAATCATTTTTTTGGGTTTTTGAAGCGTAAAACAAACAGCAAATATAGGATAGTCCATTGCTGACTTAAGTATCAGTTTAAAATGGTAAATTTATTCCAATAATTATCGATCGTGATGGGACCTAAATCGATAAAAATTAGACAACAAAATCTTCTTCTTTCTTCCCTTTCCGTGTTCATTTCGTGTGCATTCCGATGAAACTATTAAAATTCTTAAATATTACCTTGATTTTATATCCAAAATTGTAATAGAACGAATGAATGAGATGAAAGATTATTTGAAGTGGATAGACCGAAAATCCAGAAGAGAAAACGTATAAAACAGAAAAATCATCACCAAATCTTTGATTTTAACATTTCTATTACTCAACGAAGGCTTAATGACCGATAGTTTCTCATTCTCATTCATGTATTTTTATTATTTCTCTTAGCGAGAACTTCTTGGAAGTGAGTGAAGCAAAAGGTAGACGTTTTGAGTGTCTTGAGTACCTGAAGGAGTAGGATTGGATTTTTGTCGAGTGATATGGCTAATTTTGGAGCTTAGATGCTAGATTTTATGCTTCTGTGGATAACTTTTGTGGTTTAAAATGCTGCTTTTGGACAAATCAACGAAAATGGTCTATCTCTGGATGTTGAACATGAAACTGTAAAATGGTTGTTAAGTAAGTGGAATATACAACCTTTTATCCAAGACTAAATTCAGGGGAGCTATGAGCTGTCAATAATTAACTTTTAAATTCCTAAGCAGCTATGCATAATTTTCCAATACGAATCATATCAGCTTCTTCCTTTTCCCATAAATAATTCATGTACATGACCACAAATGCGCAACGATTCTCCACAAACTACAGCATCTCTTCTTACTTCCCATCATCCTCTTGAGAATATAATTTGATACATTTTTATTATTATTGCCGTGCGTGTAGTGGATCGACAAGAGATAATTCTCATTTCTCTATTTCAAGTGGACGATAGAAGAGCTTGAAGAAAGGAAAACAAAAGATGCGAACATTGATTTTATTTTATGTATAAACTTCTTCTTCTTCTTCATCGTCATTCTTATCTGAAAAGAATTTCATTTTCGAGATAATTTAAAGCACCCGATTCGATATGAATAGTCTTTATTCCCACTCGAGTTGTGGATGGATGGCTGACCACATTCCAACACATTCTATTTTGTTATTCTTCATCATTTTTTATTTTATTCTATTTTTGGTAATTATTTAATCTCTTATTTCTACTCCATTCATTCACATTTCAAAATATTTAAACGCCGGTTGTTCCTTTAAATCTATTGGAATTTTCTTTCCATCTTCGTCTCTCATGAGAATCTCTTCTTCATTTAATTTTCATCTTATTACAGTAAAACAAATATTTATTTATTTTCATTTCATTCTCAGGTATTTCCTGAGTAACTTTATGTTCTTTTTTTTTGGATGAGATGAGAAAGTGTATTTAGAGATGAGGCATCATGCCTTGTAGAATTTTTATGCATAAAATATGAATTAAATGATACTTTCATCCCACACAGCAGAGGGTAGACGAAGAAGAAGAGCTGGCCCGAGGCTTACATTAAAATATTTTAAATGCTTGAATATTATGAGACGTAATCTGTTAATGAGATGATTTTTTATGAATTATTTACAAATTCTTGTGTAAGCTTTAGTTATCGGTGGAAGAGCATAAAGGGAATTAAGTGGGCGAGCATTTTGTTTAACATGATGACGCCATGTGTGGACTAATATGGACAAATTCTGACTGAACGCTTTTAGCTTTTGGTAATGGAAGTTAACTGCTTTTTAGCATGAAGAAAGGACATAAATAAAATTTTACCTTCACCAAAGAAGGAGCTCGTAATAAATTTTTAATTATTTTGATCCAGCTGATCAGCTTTAAATCCAGCCCAAATTTAATTTATTCGTGCAGCTGAAATGCCACCAGAACTTCCTTATTTTCTTAAAATTAACTTTTCACATTTTATAATTTTAAATTACAGACTCTCTCAATCTAATGCTACTCGGTCGCATCCGAAAAATTAATGTTAATGCTTTAAAAACAAAAAAAAATGCCAAAAATTCTGAAAGATCTAAAAATATTATTTTGGAATCAAATGTATATTTATAAGAGGATAATGTGATAATCTTCAACGTGGGCAGGAATTATAATCGAGAACTGAGAAGGAAAAAAAATTCTGCATCTGCCTTTTTGTGGTTTTTGTGGCATAAGCCAGAGATTTTCTAATCTATTATTATATGCTGTAATTAAATAAGGACACGAGAGATAAATTTCTTTCATTTGACATAAACGACCTTAAAAGACTGAACAGGTGGAAATGACTTTTTTATTTCTATATCTTATAGCTGTTCTGCATTTGTCAGAGGTCGGATAAATATCGACAGTGAGAGTCAGGTGCAATGCAGCAATAAATATAAATGAAATTTTTTTAGCAGCTGATGTAGCTCTGTGCTTCCCTCATGTATGCTCAAATTATCTTGTAATGTATGTGAATCATCATTAAATCATCATCATCGTTTGTTCGTGACCTTGCTTGAACTTTTTCAGTTGTTTAAACTGAGAATTACAGGAATTGGAGGAAGGAGCGTTTTTGATAAAAGCATGACAGTTACGTGCAAGGTTTGATACACTTTTTTATGGCCTGTGGGTATGTTGGGTAGTGGATATTTAACTTATCCTAATTATTTGATTTCCTAAAAAGTGCAGAACAATACTCAAAAATCTTTAAAGCTTAAAAATAGAGCATATGCAAATAATCAACATAAGATGATTCCAAGGGAACCTAAAATTCATAAAGATTCTTCTCATCACATTAATAAACCCTGAATATCAAGTAAATTGCGCTCTTAAAAGCACAATAGCACAACATAACCTTATAAACCAGTTTCCCACTATAGTCACTTCATTTCTCTCCTGAACTGAATTGAATAAGAAAAATTACAGCACTAACAGCATGTTGCAAATTATTGCAGTATTTGCATAGTGAGATGTACAGTCATCATCTTCATCATCGCCGTGTTTTATTGTGTATACATTTAACATCTGGTAGATACAGTACTTCATGTTATGCTCAATTTATCTTCAATATATAGAGTTGCTGTGAAAGATAATCTAAT